GAAATTAAAAATTTCCTCTCTATATTTTATAATACGGGATAAATAACGGGTATGTTGTTTTGCAGCCAGAATTGCTGAAATCCGTTTTTAAACTGGTCTTCGTTTGTACTTAGTTCAGTCAGTTCCTCTTGTATTATGACATTCGTTTCTTCTATGTCACCATATGGATTAATTATCCACGGTGGTATTACCATAGTCAAAATATCCTCAAACCTAGATTCAAAATCTGTCTAGAGGGCATTTAAATGTTGAACGTAAGTTGAAACGTCGTCTTCCTGGCAGCTTGTCTGTGACAAATTGGGAACTGAGAAAATTCGCCCCGTCCAATATTTTGCTTCATTAGTTTAACTCTGACAAGAAACGCTGATAAGATGGACTTTGTTTTAATCAAATTCAAACTTTCGCCTTGTAATTTAAAATTAACCATATTAAATTTTGTAAACAAATCTGTTAAATAGGCGATGTCTGTTTTCCTCTTCATTAAATTTTCTTTTAAAATTTTATCTTTAGTATCCAGAAATTCTAAAATAGTCTCAAAAAGTGCAAAAAATCTTGCCAAACATAAGCCTTTAGACAGCCAGCGTACTTCAGTGTGAAGGACTAATTGATGAAAGTGTTCGTCATTTTCTTCACACAACTGCGCAAATAACCGCGTAATCAACGCGTTGCTTCGGATTCGGTTTACTGCATCAATGACTAAATGAAGTGATTCATGCAATCTAACACTCAAATTTTTAGCAACTAAATGATGTCGATGGATGACGCAATGTATTGCTAACACCCCTGACACGTTTTGTTTTAAATAGCTTATAAATCCACGATAACGTCCAACCATGGCAGGTGCTCCAACAGTAGCTACTGGTATTATATTTGATAAAGGAATTGCTTTATCAATGAAGTAATCCTTCAAAACATGAAATATTGATTCACCTTTAGTGTCGGTTATCAAAGTTCTTGCGAAGGGCAGTTCTTCGTAGATTTCTTGATTCATAATAAAACGAACATATGCCAATAATAATGCTGCTTTATCAGGTAAAGTCGACTCGTCCAGTTGTATAGAGAAATGGGTCGTTTGCAAATAATTACATAAGAAGCTTTCAATATCAGAACTCATTTCATCAATACGTCTTTCAACAGTATTGTTGCTTAAGGGAATTCTTTTAATGATATCAGATGCAGGTTTGTGTAAAACAGTTTTTGAAACCTCTTCAACGGCTGGTACAATTAACTTCTCTCCGATAGTATGCGGTTTTCCGGATTTTGCTATAAGTAACGAGATATTGTAAGACGCCCGCAAACCATCATCATTTCTTTGTGACGTCGAAGCGAACATCATGTCCAGTGTAGGTCTCTTCTGAAATTTATCTTTGAGTGTTTGAAAGTATTTCAAATCTTTCTCTGTTTTATCAAGGTGGCATCTTCTCAGATGATCTTGCAGTTTAGATGGTTTCATAGCGTCATTGCCCAAAACTTTGTTGCATAAAAGGCACATAGGCGATTGTTTGTCCGGCAATGATGGAATGAAGCCAAATTTCAAATAATCAACACTGTACTGTCTACATTTCTTTTTAGATTCGGACATGGCATCAGTCATCTGTGGGCAAAATTAAATTATTTAAATAAGACAGAAAATCCAGCAGCTGTATATTAAAAATATTCTTTGATTTTTCCAAAAACATTCCATAATTCGAACATCTTCTTGCAACGATTAGCTCGAATTACGGAAATTGCACTGTAATTATACTACCGATTGCTAAAACTTTCAAAAAGAAGCTATTGAGGAGTACTCGTGTAATTTTGCATGACTGAATATTTAACTACTAATAACTAAAGTCATGATTGGCGTAATTTATCTATCTTTGCTAACTACGAGTACAAAACTAAAATTTAATAAAAAATAATGTACTTACTTTTCTCCAGCACTCTCAAACAAAATAACACTGACTCACTATAATTTGTGTGATATACTATATGTTTATATTTTTTAAAATATTTTCTTAGCACTTTCCTTTTCAAGATTCAGGAAGCGAATAAACGTATTTGTCCCACATTTGTATTTATAGAGTGACGAATTGAACAAGTTAGTGCAAGGCAGCGAAGCTCTCAGACTGCGACTCTCAGGTTTTTACAAGTTCAAAATGTATTGCGACCACAAAGCGAATACCAACATCCTACAACTTACACAATTTTATAAACATATATAATAATTTTTTTACTTCATAGGTACTTTTATAAATGATGTATATGTTTTGATATTATAAGATAGTATGATGTAAGTAAATAGGTACTATCAGTGTATGTGTTGAGATCCACTATCGTGGACCCCCATATTCATTTCATGGACCCCCAAATTTTTTTTCGCTGACGTAGACCCCTTGCCGCTTTGGGAATCAATGTTCTAAAGCTTAAAAATATTTTTATTAATACTGACAGAAATTTTTACGTTAATGGTCAGGAGCTTCTGAAACTCCAAAAAACGAAGTTTGAGCGATTTGTGAATTTCCTGGTTTTTTGTCATTTTCTCCGCCCGACTGGTTCGAGTCTTTACAGAAGCCAAAGGTGAAAATATATGTCATGTAATACATCTGTTTCCGTTGCTGAAAAAGGAAATATCGAGATTCACTATAAAACTGTACATTCGAATTTTTAAAAATCATTCCCATTACGTTCTGCAACCAGAACGGAACAAATGAAACAATTAAAAAATCAGTTAATTGGACAACAGAAAATGTTTTTAAAAACAATCGACAAAAGTAAGGCTGCAAGTGAAGCATCGTACCAGGTGTCTCAGATAATTACACAAAACAAGAAACCTTATGGAGACGAGGAAATGATAAAACAGGTATTTTTAGAAGCTGCAGATTCATTATTTCCCAACTTTAGAAACAAAGACGAGATAGTTCTGCTATAAAATCTATGCAACTTTCTGCTAATACAGTGATGAGACGAGTAGAGGTAATGAGCAATGATATAGTTTTACAGTTAAGAAACAGTTGACACCTCTCAAATGGCCGTGTTCGTCAGGATGGTGTTTTGTGATTTACGATTAAATAAGATCTTTTGAAGTTTATTTCACTAAAATGACAGACTACTGGGCAGGACTTGTTTTCTTATTTTAAAAATATTATTTCTTCTGAGAAAATTCCAATATCGAAAATGGTAGGCTTGACAACCGATGGCGCTCCAGCTATGGGTCTCGTGGGGTTATATCGTAAAGAAAAAAGTCTTTCGCAATTTCTCTGTTACCACTGCATTATCCATCAGCAAGCATTATGTGGACATTTTCTGAAACTAAACAACGTTACCGTAAAGTGGGGCTACTTTGTAACACTTCTTTTAGGTTTTTTGATGATTTATTTCAAATTGTTTGAAGTATTATAATTTAAGATATGCCACCTTATAGCCCCACCTTTTTTCTATCTCAAGTAGAAAATGTAATTCAGTAAATGTTATAGAACTCGAGAAAATGACGGAAAAAGTTGTCTCAAATTAACCCCATAGGTTAGGGTTACTTTATGACATGCAGTTTTTGTAACTATGTCACAAAGAAACACACATGCTTTGTTTAAAAAAATAAAATGTATATATATAATGGGTGATTTTTTTGCTAGTATCTTTTTGGAAACACTGTTTTTGACAGATGACGCGTGAATCGTGTCTTGTGTCATTGTCAAACTTGATCAGTTTGGTCTATAATTTAACCATGAATCGACTTACGAACGAACAACGCTTGCAAATTATTGAATTTTACTATCAAAATTCATGCTCGGTTAAGAGAGTGCAGCGAGCACTGCTTCCAATTTGTGGGCAATTTGGTCGGCCTACTGAGGGAGCTATTCGGAAGCTTGTGACTAAATTTCGAACCCAGTTTACATTATTGGACATTAAACCACCAACACGCAGACGTAGAGTGAGGACTGAAGAAAATATTGCGGCTGTATCCGCCAGTGTTAGTGATGACCGTGAAATGTCGATTCGCCGAAGTTCGCAGCAATTGGGCCTCTGTTACTCCACTACGTGGAAAATTTTGCCACAGGATTTGGGTGTAAAACCTTATAAGATACAGCTGGTGCAAGAATTGAAGCCATAAGACCTCCCACAACGTTTCCAATTTGGTGAATGGGCGCTGGCAAAGTTGGAGGAAGATCCACATTTTTATCGAAAAATTGTGTTCACTCATTTCTGGTTGAATGGGTACGTTAACAAGCAAAATTGCCGCATCTGGAGTGAAGACCAGCCAGAAGCATTGCAAGAGCTACCAATGCATCCCGAAAAATCACTGTTTGGTGTGGATTATGGGCCGGTGGCATCATCGGGCCGTACTTCTTCAAAGATGGCAATGGCCGGAACGTAACTGTGAATGACGAGCGCTACCGTGCGATGATAACAAATTTCTTTTGTCCAAAATGGAAGAGCTGGACTTGGCTGACATGTGGTTTCAACAAGACGGTGCCACATGCCACACCGCACACGAAACAATGGCCCTATTGAGAGGCGAGTTCGGTGAACGGATTATCTCACGTTTGGGGCCCGTCAATTGGCCGCCTAGATCGTGTGATTTAACGCCGTTGGACTATTTCTTGTGGGGCCATGTTAAGGCTAATGTCTACAGGGATAAACTAGCAACGATTGACGCACTGGAAGCCAATATTGAAGCATTTATTCATGAGATACCGGCCGATATGTTGGAAAGAGTGTGCCAAAATTGGACCTTGCGCATGGGCCATCTAAAGCGGAGCCGCGGTCAACATTTACATGAAATAATCTTTAAACATTAAATTATATCGACCGTTCAATCGACTCAAGTAAAGATTTAATCGTTTTTTCAGATGTTTTGTGTTTTTTTTTGAAAATCAAATCCTATACCTCTTAAAAAATCACCCCTTATATATATTTGAGAGAAAAACAAAACAAACTCTAATTGGCATTAACTAGGTATATAAGGTTAGGCTTGAAACAACAAAATGTTTATTATTACAAACATTATAAAAAAGTTATTGTTATTCAAGAATGTCTTTCAATTCTGGAACGTCAAATAAGGCTCGCTTTCCACGTTGCATTGGAACGTTTATGCCCATAACAATTTCATCGTTCCTATAAAATATCTCGTCCTTCTTAAGAGGCCACTTCGACTGTTTTCCAGCACTTTCCATCACATTTACGGTTGCTCCTACCCTCGAGACATTAGTAATTTGACCAGGAAAATAGCTTTGCTCAAATTGTACAACTGCGTACTTTCCCGTTGATTTATCCACTTTTTTTATTTTCTTCAGTGGGCTGTTCATCTCCATCATCGAAAAAATGATCATTACTTGTACTGTCATCACTTTCCATGTATTTAACTTCGTTTTCATTTTCACTAGAACTATCTGATGATGATCTGTCAGCTCCAATATTTCGTAGACGTTTTCTCTGACGGATGCCAGAAGTTCCAGGCTCAGGATCAACAGTTCTTGTTGTATTTTCAACAGTAAGTGTGTCATTGTTAAAGTCACTACTGCATATGCTTTTACCTGGTGGCACGTTCAGACGTTTCCTTCTTTTTACCTGTCTCTTTTTCGTTGTTTCTGTCCTTACATTGGTTACGTGTTGAATAAAACTGTTACCAACATGCTCAGTTATTTCGGTATCTGCTGTTACGACACGATCGCATAAACGGACTAACACTTGTTGTCGGTCCAAAGGGCAAATTCCTGTTTTTCTGAAACCGGATTTTAAATTATCAGGCGCAACTGATCATTAGATTTTTCAAAAGCCCCGGCAATTCATCCTTTGGTATAGAAGAAACTCTGCTGCCATAACTACTTGCCTTCCACTCGCTCAAAATCTTACGCCATTTTTCCTTCATTGGTCGGAAAAAAGCCACGTCAAGTGGTTGGAGTAGATGCGTGGTATTAGGAGGTAATGCTATAAAACGAATGTAATTAGCTTCACATTCTTGAATGACTTGCTGATTCAAGTGTGAACTAAGATTGTCTCCTATGATTGCCTTTCGTCCTTCTTGACGTTTTAATATTGGAAGTATAAGATGTAAAAAGAAATCCTCAAAAATTTGATAGTCAAACCATCCTGAAGCCGTCCTATTATACCGCGCGTTTGGCGGTCCATTTTCGGTCCAGGTGTTCCATAATTTTTAGATTTATAATTGACGTAAAGTGGTGCTATTTGACACTCGGCGTTTCCGAATACTATTAATGAGGTACAGGCTTTAGATGAGTTCCTGATACGTTCAGGATACTGTACTTACTGAAAAACCAAAAGCTGACACAGTAATTACATGGGCTGCAAATATATTTTCTTCCTCCTCAGTAAATACTTTTTGTTGTCCAGGTTTGTTCTTATGCGTAGTGAAATCCGTTTACTCCTTATCTCGTGAAGAGCTTCTGCAAATTTTTCTAGTGTATAATTTTTGTAATTGCGACTACCAATTTTTCTTCTAAACACTCGTGGCATTGTATCTGAAAAATTACACATTTTGCGTTTCAATAATACCTTCATAAACATTCAAGGGGTTACTTTGTGACAATTTTTTGTCACAAAGTAGCCCCTCTAGTTGTAACCAATTTTTAAAAAATGTGTTAAACAAAGTGAAAAATAACTTCGAAAAGATGTAATTCTAACACTGAGGCGTGAAAACGTTCGTATTTTAATATAAACCTACCTTGGTGGAAAATTCTTTTAATATAGTTTCTGACCAACACAAAGTTTGCACACAAAACGAAATCCACCTGTTTACTCGATTATATATTTTGTTTAAAATAGTGCGTTACTTTTTTATTTTTAGTTACCTTTATTAAATCGTAACTGACATGCCATTGTAGCTGACGAAAAATTTCACCTAGGATTGGTAGGAATGGATCTAGTTATGTAGTATGTATTAGTAAAATAAACATATGTATGTCACATACAACTGTCTATAATTTCATTGCCATTGCTTACGACTAGGTAGCTCTCTGTTTATTCCAAAATTATCAAAGTAGCTCAACACAATGAAAAGGTTGGCCACCACTGGCATAGGATGTAAAAATGATGCCCAAAACAATGATTGGACTGTCAGCTTAAAGCCAATCGAAGCGTTTCAGATCATAAAGTTTTGACTCCCTGTATAGGCGGGTAATAAATTGCAACAAGCAGAAAAAACTGCTGAAATGTCGACCGCTGTATTTATCACCGTTACGGTGCCGCAAAACGGTGGAAAACTATCAAACTGTTTAACGGTGTCGTATAGTTCCCGAACGCATTCCAATTCCGTGTGGAGCACTCCTGTTCCGTTCATGTAATTCTACTCTGCTGTTTATTCATGGACGCGTTGAAACTAGAACTAAAGCTTTAAAGAGAAAAGGCTCCGTGAAATCGATTCCTGTATACAAGAGTGTGTCTATCTATCTAAATAATCTGAAAACGTACTAGTACGTTATTTGTATAAGATACGAGACGGTGATAATAGATCGATAAACGTGAAAAAACAAACCCGCCTTAGAAGTACCTCGTCACACAGACTGATTAGGAGTCGCCACAAAGACAGACTAGGAGTAGTCACACAAGCAGACTAGGAGTCTTCACACAGACTGACTAGGAATCGTCACACAGACTGACCAGGAGTCGTCACACAGACTGACTAGGAGTCGTCACATAGACAAACTAGGAGTCGTCACACAAAGTGACTAGGAGTCGTCACACAAACCGACTAGGAGTCGTCACAAAAACTGACTAGGAGTCGTCACACAGACTGATTAGGAGTCGTCAACAGACAGACTGGGAGTCGTCACACAGGCAGACTAGGAGTCGTCACACAGAATAACTAGGAGTCGTCACTCAAACTGACTAGGAGTCGTCACACCGACTGACTAGGAGTCGTCACACAGGCACACTAGGAGTCGTCACACAGACTGACTAGTAGTCGTCACACAGGCAGACTATGAGTCGTCACACAGAATAATTAGGAGTCGTCACTCAGACTGACTAGGTGTCATCACACAGAATGACTAGGAGTCGTCACACAGACAGATTAGAAGTCGTCACACAGACTGGCTAGAAGTCGTCACATAGACAGACTAGGAGTCGTCGCACAAACTGACTAGGAGTCGTCACACAAACTGACTAGGAGTAGACACACAGCTGATTAGGAGTCGTCACACAGACAGACTAGGGGTCATCACACAGACTGACTAGAAGTCGTCACATAGACGGGCTAGGAGTCGTCGCACAAACTGACTAGGAGTCGTCACACAAACTGACTAGGAGTCGTCACACAGACTGACTAGAAGTCGTCGCATAGACAGACTAGGAGTCGTCGCACAAACTGACTAGGAGTCGTCACTCAAACTGACTAGGAGTCGTCACACAGACTGATTAGGAGTCGTCACACAGACAGACTAGGAGTCGTCACACAGGCAGACTAGGAGTCGTCCCACAGACCGACTAGAAGTCGTCACACAAACTGACTAGGAGTCGTCACAAAAACTGACTAGTGGTCGTCACACAGACTGATTAGGAGTCGTCAACAGACAGACTAGGAGTCGTCACACAGGCAGACTATGAGTCGTCACACAGAATAACTAGGAGTCGTCACTCAGACTGACTAGGTGTCATCACACAGACTGACTAGGAGTCGTCACATAGACATACTAGAAGTGGTCGCACAAACTGACTAGGAGTCGTCACACAAACTGACTAGGAGTCGTCACACAGACTGATTAGGAGTCGTCACACAGACAGACTAGGAGTCGTCACACAGGCAGACTAGGAGTCGCCACACAGACTGACTAGGAGTCGTCACACCGACTGACTAGGAGTCGTCACACAGGCAGACTAGGAGTCGTCACATATACTGACAGACATGCCGAGTTTAACGATTGTTACGAAAAGCATTCCAGGAACCAGAATATCACGTTGCCCTGTCAATATCCCAAGCTCCGACGTGACTCCTGCACATTCGGACTCCAACGATTGCCAAGAGAAGATATTAAGCGGTCATTCAGATCTAGGATGTCACGTCGGCCAAAAGCCATGGTGTCAGCATTCCAAGCGTTCCGACACTTCTCCTGGCAGAAGAAACCGAGAAGTAATTAATATACCTGAACCCAGCAATCGATCTCAGAAAGTCCCATAATAACCCCTAGGACCTGCAGGCGTCCCACCTGCGGATATTCCATAACAATATATAGTAAAGTCGCAAGTCATAGACTAAGATATGCCTTAAAACATTCGTGACGATGAATATAAACGTATGATGGTTAAAAATCCATGCAGTACTGCAAAGTAAAGAAAATAGTAATTGCTCACCTTTCTGGCAACCAAAACACTACACCCAGTAGCACAGCGATGCTGTAATTAGTTTCAAGACACGCACTATTTGATCTGAGATGCGACCTTTATACCCGCCTGCGTGTATATGAAAGCTTGTCCTGGGAACAAGTGCCCAGAGGAATGTTTAACAGGCTGAAGAACCATCCTGTTGAGTGATACTAACCAGACTTCTAAACCTTCTGGAAAGGTTTCGAGTGCTACAGGGTTGAACTAGTGTACAAAATGTGTTTGAGATATATCATTTGCTTACATTTGTAACTGTCAAAGAATAGTTGTATAAAGAGAAGACAGTTAGACAAGGCAAATAAAATTAAAACAGCTGCAATATGAAACGATTTCATAATACAAAAATAAACGTGGCCGCAAAGGGTTAAAAAATAACGTCCCTTGCTGATGCCGTACCAGTGTTGTAGATAGACTCCGCTGATATTGTAAGACACAAACACTATATTAAATTTCGTAGAAAATCCGAAAAAGTAAAAACAATAATATTACTGACTCAATCACTATCCAGGACAGCCCATCCCCAATGTTATCAAAAATAAGTAAAGTAAATAACCTCCTTACAGCTTACATGAAACTTGAATGGTCCCTGAAAGATCAAAAGATTCTTCATAATAGAATATTTTTCACTAATATCAAAGAAATAACATTTATAATCCCTCAATTCACAATTCCCAAAACAAAATTCTGAAAATGAGTTGAACTATAAATATCAGCGGTACTTTCCAAATTGGATTAGCGGACAGACAGACAGACCAACGATGTAACGTCCGTGTTTCGAAATTTTTCGCGATTACAATGCTTTCTCGCCAGTCGGTGTGGGACGTAAAATGCATTGTTTCTACTTGAAAAATAGATAAAATCAATTTTATCCTCTCTGGATTCGCTACAAAAGCAAATCCATTTAGAGAAAACAAATGATGATGTAGAATATACATCCACTTTACACGTAAAAAGAGCGTATAGATCCTTTTCCATTGCGTCCATTTGTGCTGTATTTCATGGACATATTTCATTCGTAATTGAACTTCGTACGGAGAATTCTACTCCTGCATTTGTATGGTGATGCATTATTTCGCTGTGCTACAGAATTTATTGACAACGCAAATAAATAATTCACTCGGTATTGAAACATTTTATAATAATTATACAATTACTAATGATGAAGTTT